GGGTTTTTTTGCAATGGAAATGTATACTTTTGTAAATAAAACGATCAAATGAAAATGGTCAGAGTGACTCTTATGTATAAATAGAGAACAGAACTTAGTTTGACTGGGTAACTCCAGGAGAAAATATGACAGACAATCAGAAAAGAACTTGGGGGCTCTGAAAGGACACTGAGGTCAAAATCCAAAAGTACCATTACTGTGCTATGCTAAAAACAAAAACCTCACTCCAACTCCAGCAAACATGGACTTTAAACAGTTTAGTTCTAAGAACTTGTGATCTGAACTTCTCTTCCTATTTAGTACTCACTAAAAAAGCTGTATTCAACTTAGGGTACCAAACCACAGCCCAATGAGGGGGAACCCGGAGAAGGTTCAATGAAGGGAACCAAACCCAGCAGTGACCCCTTTACAGAATTAGTGCATGTGAATTGATAGCTGTGCTTCTCTTTATGAAAATCTAATGTATGAAAACAAAGTTCAGTGTGACTCTTCTACAATGTGTGCATCTATGTAGCCATAATCGTAATGGACACATTCCTGTCTTAAATTATTTTTTAAGACTTCCCCCAACTTTTATTATGAGAATTTTCATAAAGTCGAAGGAATGAAACAATACCTGTGCACACTCCACCTAAGTCCTATAAATTTTTGTACACTTTCCACCTAAAAAATTATGTTTTCCGTCGTATTTCATAGGCCTCATTTTAAATCTCTGCATAATAGGTCAACACACAGATGTCTCAATTTATGCTTGATATATTTAGCTCCAGTTTGGGGAAAAAAATATACATATATATAAAATTTTCCAATTTCCATAAGGTCTTCCCCACTTCCTGATTTTTTAAGAGCTGGGAGAGCTGCTAAGCTGGAATGTTGATGCCACTACTGCTGAAATCCATGTCTTTGGGGAAGGGCCTAGAAATACTAATGAAGCATAGAAAACAAGTGACATCAGAAGAATAGCATTTCAAAATTGCAAGGCATCAATAACTTATAGTTCCACAGCATCCTAGGACACTGAGTATGTGTAATTCGGGGGCGGGGGGGCAGTCACTGGACTTGATTTGTTCTGCCTTGGAAAGTGCATTACAGCTGACTCCTTGCCTTCAGCTCTGGCAGCTGGGACCCATAAGTGTGCCAGATGTGCCACTTGGAAGATGTTTAACTGATCCTAGTTTAGGGGATTTTAGAAAAAGGGAGGTCTTTTGGAAAAATTGGGAACTTATGTCCGGGAGGTAAGTGGCTAAGACACAGGAACCTGGTCAGAAATGGCTCAGTCTTCATCCCTGGAAAAGAAGTCCTTACCCAGTGAGTCCACATTCTCATAACTCTCCTGCACCGTGTCCCTGGAGAGGGCCCTCTTACTAGGATCCTGATGCCCCCACTCCTCCTGGGAGATGTACATAGCCACGTCCTCTAAGCTCTCAGGCAACTGAAACAGTACAAGATCTCCTTTAGCCCCTGAGGCACCAAGAACAATTCAAGCAGAGTCAAGGGTTAAAGGGGAAAAACCCGGGAGTGCCGAGGACACATTTCATGGGGAAGAAGGGTGCCAGGCCTAGGAGTGAGGTGAGAAAGAGGCATATAAAGAAGGCAGGGGAGACACACTGGTGAGGGAGAAAGGATCCTCTCCAAGTGGCAAAAGGACCACACCACCACAAGAGCAACACTGGGTGTGTGTGTGGGGGTGTGCTGGGGGAAGACATTGGGAACTTCCACATCACCTGGGGCCCAGTCATCTTGTCTTCCATGTTTCCTTCAGGAGGAAAGAGAGAAAGCCAGGGAGCAGATAATGCTGAAGGTGATAGAAATCATGATGAGAATGGCATTCCTAATTCTTGGTAACCCAAGGATTATTACAACACAGTATCCATTCCCCAACACCCAGTCTCTACTCTGAGGACTGAACACTAAACAAAAGAAGGCAAGAGAGGCACAATAAAACCATATTCAAATGATATCCTCAATGCAGGGGTGAGGATAAGAAATACCAGTAGTCTGTCTGCAGAGTTCAAGCCCTCAAACATTCATCTAGCTCTAAGGGTCTCTGTTCTGCATATGAAAGAGCTAAAAAGTCTTCCTCCCTCCTCCCACCTCCAGAAGAACCCAACCACCACTTCTAAGTCTTTCACTCCACTCTGGGAACCCTGAAGCCAGAAATTTCCTCTGTGGCACAGGTGCTCCAATCCTGCTCCTGTAAGAGGCAAACCGGAAGCCCCTCCTCCCTCCCACCTACCCAGTTAACTGTTCCTCACCCCTCTCCTTTACAGCCTGGGGGTCCCTTTTAGGGCTGGGGCCTAGCAGCTCCTGCAGCCTGGGACCAGGGCTTCGCTCAGTCTCCATTGGCTCCAGCTTGAAGCTCGGTGACTTTCGTGCTGTTTCCAGAGACAAAGGCTCCTCCAAAAGCACTTCTGTTCCCCGCCCATGGTTTGTGACCTGGGAACCAACCCATATTACTCATCATCACAACAGGGCCCCACAGGAAGGGAAATTAGTACAAAATTCTGAGGGTAAGCCTTCAACGGTGAAATACTGGTGATACCTTTGGACCCAGCAAGAGAGAAGGATGGTTTCCACTATAGGTTTTTCTGATCCCAAGTGCGTGAGAGAAAAGGAGGGTGTGGGGATCCACTCCCAGAGCACACCTGCCCCACACAGTTCTGGACACACCTCCCTCCCTCTTGCTTTCCCCCACCTTTTCTACATGCTTCCATTCCTTACTGGAGAAGTTAAACTTGGGTGGCCCTGGGGGCACAAGTGCCCTCAGAGGCTCAGTGCCAAACTGGTTTCTAAGTCTGTGATTTAATTCCCACCTAGCTCTGTATAAGAGACCAGACTGCTGACCCTAATATAACAAGAGCTAATAGCTATTAAGCACTAACTGGTAGCCAGTAGTGTGATCAAAACTCTATGGCCCCGTCCAGGTGGCTCAGTTGGTTGAAATGTCATTCTGATATGCCAACATTTTGGGTTTGACCTCTAGTCATGGCACATACAAGAATCAACCAATGAATGCATAAATAAGTGGAACAACAAATCAATGTTTCTGTTTCTCTCTCTCTCCTTTCCTCTCTCTCTAAAATCAATGTTTTTTAAAAACGTATGTCTGACTGTAACAACTTGAGTGTTTTTTACCAAGCAAAATAAAAAATACTAGTAAAAGTGTGATTTAGAAAATAGTGTGACTGTTTAAAGCATCGGTTTTCAAACGGTGTGCTGCAAGAATGGCGGGGGGGGGGGGACACAACATGCTGCTTGCTCTCCCTCTAATACTCAATGCAACACTAGAAAGGTATTTTATCATCCTCATTTTACCAGTGGCTTATCTGAGGCTTGAAAGAATTAAATAACTTGCCCAAAGTCATAACGCTAGTATAAAACAGTGACGACTTGAACCCTGAGAGCTAAGGTCAGGGCTCACTAATGCAAAGACATTGCTTCCATACGGAAACAGGGCATTCTGCACTACTTACTCTGTCCATTTGGGTAAAATCTGGAGGATGACTGTTCCTGACTAAACTACAAAAAGGCCTCTTGCCCACGTAAGGCCTATTAAGGGAAACCAAGTAAATTCGTATAGGGAACTGGGTCGGCACACTGTCCCAGTCCAGGGGCCAAACAAACCATAGATACAACAGCTCTTTTTCTCACCTGTTGTCTCAGTTTCCCAAGCTCTCTCTGCATATCTTCCACAAGGGTCACTGCTTCCTCGCCGCTCTCTGGATGCAACTCCTGCACCCTGCTCTGGATCTCCTGGGGCAGGATGATTAGAAACTGCTCCAACACCAGCAGCTCCAGGATCTGCTCCTTGGTGCGCATCTCAGGCCGCAGCCACCCATGGCAAAGCTCCTGGAGCCGACTGAGGGCTTCCCGGGGCCCAGCGGCCTCTTGAAAGCGGAACCGTCTGAAGAGCAGGTGGGAGGCCTCCGGACTGGGCCCTGGGTCTGGCGGGAGCAGCTCCTGGCTCCAGGCGCAGTCTTCCTCCAGTTTCACTATCAGGAGCCCTTCCCGATCCTGGGAGCCTGGGCCCGACGCCATCGTCAGGCCCTCGGAGTGCCTTACCCTGGAAACCAACTGCGCCCGCCAGGAAAGGAGCCTCCGGCCTCGCGCAGGGATGGCCGACGTCAGCAGGAGCCCGAAGGCGCTGGGCTTCAAGTCCCGGCCGAAGAGCTAGCTATAGCCAGGCCGCAGCCGCCTCCGGCGCCTTGGTCTCAGTCGGTCCGGGTAGCCGCACCAGTCCTCCCTAAGGGTGGACCTGAGCGCCACGCTTTTCGTTTCGTCGCGGACTCACGCAGGACTCAGCGCTCGGCTCCCACACCGGAAGTTTCAGCGCGCGAGTTAGGCGTCCACAGCCAACGGAGCCTGCTCGGGACCAACTTCCAGGTCACGTTCTGCGAACTATAGCGCCCATTGGACCAGATCTTGCCACAGATTCACCGCCAACCAACCAGAAAGAGAGATTTATCTACAGGGACGGGACAAGCGAGTGGCCAATTCGAGAGGAGAGGCGGGGTCTCCCGGCAAGCAGCGGGAGGTTCCCGCGGTTGGCCAAGGGAGGGGATGGGTTCGCTAATTCGATTTGTAAAAAATGATCCCAAAACGGGTATGACTGGCGGGCTGCCGGGTCAGAATTCCCCGGAAAGCTAAGATGCGAACCCTCGAGCCACGCGAGATCAATGCGTTAGAGTGTCGGGGTGGGCTCGAAAATCTGAATTAACACCCCTACCCCACCAGAAGTTTGAAAGACATTGCCGGTTCATAACGATTTAAAGGCGGTCTCCATCCGCTCCAGTAACTTAGAGTTCCAGGAGTGGGAGCCATCTGCCCCAACGGTATCGGAGGCTCAGGAGCCGCGATCCCCTCGCCAGCTCGGCGTCTCCGAAAGGACAGGCAGAGAGCCGCCCCGCCTAGGTCAGCGTTCCCGCCGGGCCTGCCGGGAGATGCCGTGGGTGGTGCGGCACGTGACTACGCCTGAGCCCGCGCTCGGGGCGGTGCCCCAACCGGCCGAACGTGGTGCGGTGGAACCGTGAATACTCCGCGGTACTGGGGCTTTGGGGCTGGTAGCCGGCAGCGGTCCCTTGACCTGCCAGGATCTTGCTTTGGGCGGCCGGAGAGCCACTAGGGACTCGGTCCCGCGCCACCGCCTTCCGATTTTAAACCGAATTTTAAACTTTTCCAGGACGTGTTGTTCATTGCCCAGCCCTGCGGGGGCGGGATCTTATCTCCCTCCTAGGTCTGCCGTGAACTTTCATGGTGAAGGGTGAATGGAAGCAAACTCCGAGGGTCAGTTTCCTGGCGGAGCAATTCAATGCTTTGTGCCGGTGAGGCGAGGGTGGCCCAGGATGGTCAAGGATCGCCCAGCTTCTCCATTCTCTCCAGCATTGTCCATGGCCAAAGATCGCCCAGCTTCTCCATTTTCTCCAGCAACGGTCAGGCCCGTGGGCGCAGGAGATAGAAGCGTAACAGGAGTGAATTGTGACAGCCAGTACCATGTTTTGAGCGCCTGCTTACATGCAACCGGATCCTCACAGCAAACAAAACTGTAGGAAGTATACGCTATTATCACGCCCATATTACAGATAACATCACCAAGTGTCAATTAAGTCACTTGCCAGAGTCACACAGCTAGACGGTCGCTGAAGTTAAAGCTACCATGATGGTAAAGGGTGATACGAGGACCCAGAGAAAGAGTCCTGAGTTTTGTGTGTGTGTGTTTTCTTGTTCCACTCCAGGGGAAAGGTCAGGTCTTCAAGCTGTTGTAGCAAATGCAGATCTAGAGGCTTCGGTGCACTGGCAGGTATAAGTCCATTTCAGAAAACTTTGTGACCCCAGAGTCCTCTAAGAACGTTTTCATGTTTTAGAGATTTATATTTTAGAATGTAGATTCTAACCTTATAACCAGTTTTCTGGCATCTACTAAGTCATCTCAGATACGTTATTAGATCTCACTAAGCCCCAAACCTCAGTCCCCTCATCAGTTTTGAGGGGATAATTCTATACCCGTTTTATAACATTGGATGAGGATTAAATGAGCTAACATGTAGGATGTTACCTAGCACTGAGTGTGAACTCAATGAATATTGCCTGTTATTAATGCACAGAAAATTCCTGAAGCTTGACCCTATCTCATAGAAAAGCCACTTGGATTATTAATGCAGGAGATGCATGGGAATGTTTGCAAAACTACAAATATCTTGAGATGGGAAGAATGAAGGATGAATCATTTGCTATGTAAGTTCCTTTTGATTTTAGATTGTTAATGGGTACTTAAAGCTAGATAGACTTTCAGAATTATTCGAAATTACTGTTAATATTCCTCCACCATTTCTTTGAGGCCCATTTATATTCAGACAGAAAATAGCTGGTATTTGAGAGTGGGGTTACAGGCCAGCATATCTATGGGGGTTCACTTGGGACCGAAGTTCTTAACCTAGGGTCCATGAAATTTTGGAGCAGCACTGTTCAATAGAACGTAATGCAATGTTGACTACTGAGCACTTAAAGTGCAGCTAGTATTGCTAAGTGCTGCCTTCTGGCTACCCCATTGGCCAATAAAATTCTAGAGGGTCACGTGGATAGATTTAGAGATTCTGTAAACATTTTTATAATGTATGAAGAATTGCATGTGTATGTGTATTTTCTAGGATGTGGATCTGTGGCTTTCATCGAGTTCTCTAAAATCACCAAAAAGTTTATGAGCCACTACTTTAGGGTTTTGGTGAAAAGTTAAGGGAGGTAAGTACACCTTCTTGTAACCACTGTTGACTCTACTCTTATTCCTTCTTGTCCTCAGCTGTAGGTGGTTCCTTGATTATTACAGAGAAAAACAAATTTTAATCTCATAAATAACTCCTACTACTCCTGGTCTTAATTCTCATGAGTACTAGATTCTGTCACTAGAACTATTTTCAGTTAACCTGCATCTTATTATTCCCTTGCACTGAGGTGGGCAGTTGTCTGTGTCTGGTTTTCAAATTAACATTTGATGAAATCTAGTGTTAAGACTTTCAAATCTATTCTCTTTGGTGTGGGAGCAGACAAATGATTAACTGGGTCTTTCTGAAATGCTGCTTACCTTAGGATATTCTGCCTCCAGGCTTCTGCCACTCTAAGCTTTTGCTGTTTGTTTCTTTCCCCAGTTTTGGTTTCTTACCAGTTTACTTGAATATAGCTCTTCAGTGATCTGTGTCTTAGGGTTTGTTTATTTTATTTTAAAAAATATTTTTATTGATCTTTATAGATAGAGAGGAAGGCAGAGGGGGAGAGATAGAAACATTGATGAGAGAGAAACATTGATTTGCTGCCTCCTGCATGCCCCACACTGGGGATTGAGCCACAACCTGGGCATGCACCCTGACCAGGAATCAAACCAGCGACTTTTCTGTGCATGGGACGATGCTCAATCCACTAAGCCACACTGGCTGGGTTTAGGGTTTATTTTTAAGTGTACCACATTACTCTTTGATCCCACTCTTAGCTTTGAAATTCCAATGATAAACAAAATAGTGACTACAAATGGCATTTTATTTGAAATGCATGTTATTTTTATTAATCTTAAATTATTGCCTTTTCTCCATGAAGATATAAAATAAGGCATTTTGCTCCACTTCCTATATTTTGATAAGATGTTTTGGAATTTAAATTTTCCTTCATATTAACATTAACCAAAGTAACTTGCTAATATTGTTTGTTAATGTTAATATTTAAACATTTTACTCTATTTGTATCTTAAATCACTATTTACCAACCCACGTGTTATTGCAGACCACTAAACTTTGTCAGAGGAGAGGAGGGAGCAGAAGGGACACATGAAAAGGGTGCAAACCATAACTGGTCTCAGTGAGGGAAGGAATGATAGGACATGGAGGGAAATTAAGGCAGAGAAAATCTTACTGGTTGTCTTTACATTGCTAGAAACACTATTAGGTAGTTATTTTGGTTAATTTCAAGATATAATCCACTTCTAGACTTCAGCAGAAACATATAAAGACAGATTTTGCTGAACCAACCAGCCCAGTTCAGATACCTTTTTTTTTTATCCTCACCCGAGGACATTTTTTCATTTTTGTTCAGATAGAGTGGGAGGGAAAGAGAGAGAGAGAGAAATATCGACGTGAGAGGGACACATTGAGTTGCTGCCACACACACGACCCAACCAGGGCCGGGGACAAACTGCAACCGAGGTACGCGCCCTTAGCGGGAACCGAACCCGGGTCTCTCTGGACTGCAGGCTGATGCTCTAACTTCTGAGCCAAACTGGCCAGGGCCCAATTTTTATTTGAAAATCTCTTAACTGAAATTAATCCAGAACATGGTTCCAAACTCCCACTTTTACCTCTCTCGATCTTCTCTTGGAATTCAGTAACTTAACTTAGATAATTGTATTATTAAAATATTAAAAGATGATGTAAAACTAATTTAGTGCATTACTTTAATACAAAATTCACTCGTATGTGAGGACAATGCATTGAATTAAGTACAAAAGGAGCTTTTTCCTCATTTTGGTCTTGTTCTGATATTGAAAAACTGCCTGACAGAGGCTCCATGTGAAATAATCCTGAGAAGGAAATAGCTGTCTGCCCCAGAAATCAGCCTGAATTCAGGAAAAATTGGTAGTGATTCAAATATCATGCTTCCAGTCTTTCTTATGACCAGGATATCCAGTAGCACACCCTGGCCTGAGCTTCTTAACAGAGCACAGAGATATGATATGGGTGAAGAGACTGAAAGATTCCAAAGAAATGAAACATTTATTTGACTTTAAAATAGGTGAGTGTTCATTAGATACAAAGGAAGAAAGAAAAGAAATAGCCTTAATTGGAGTAAAAGCTTTGGGATCTACACAGGTGTTTCTGTCATCCCATTACTGGTTTAATAAAACTTTTTCTCCCCCCTCTTTCTCCTTGGAACAGGGTAATGTGTTCAAATTCTATTTCTTCTCTCAAGTTTTGAGGTTAGGAGAGAAAACAGAAACAGAAAAAAACTGGATACTCTGCATCCATTCATTGTTCCTTTAGAGGGGAATGCTCTCCATGATCTGTTTTACAAAAAAAAAAGACTAAAAATGTTTAGAAAATCAATGTGGAAATCCCTAGATTTAGCAAAGCTTATAAATCATCATAACCACTCTATAGTAAGAAAACCTGGAGAACGTCAACCTAGAAGAACCTGTGAACGTTGAACTTAATGAGCACTGCACCAGAAGTTTCATTCAGAAGAGGAAAGTTACAAGTGCCCTGGCTGTAGGAAAAACTTCCTTCTCAGACCTTTATAGACACCAGTGCCTTCACACAGGGGAGAGACCCTATGAATGTATTACATTTTGGAAAGCAATTTGACAGTGTGTTTGAAGAATCTTAAAGTGTTTCTCCTCTTGGATCAAGCAGTTCCACTACTAAGAAACTATTTTGAGAGAAGAAACAAAAGCAAACAAAATAGCAACAAAAGATCTTCATGATGCAGGCCCTGAATTATGGCAACAAGCACTGCAAATGACTCATGACCCACCCCAAGTCAGAATCACTTTCTTCTGGGTCACCAGTTGCTTTGTTTAGGCCTCATTTTTAGCACTTAACAGTTCACCTTAGCTGGGAGGGTTAGTTGCGATCATACTATGACCTGTGTCCTCCTCTGCCCTAACAATATGCATATATCAACATCACACATAAGTTTTACAGGTTAGAGAACATTATTATTTATATCTTCATCCCTTAAAGTGCTCTGTACATATTAAACATTAGTAAGTGTTTGTAGCATCAAGAAATATAGAACATTGCGATGGATATGCCTAGTTATACTGACAATTTTGAAGAGAGAGGGGCAAGAAACAGTGCCCCCTCATAAGTATTACAAAGATTAAGTGAAACATTTAAATGCAGGCTCTATACAAATAAACTCAGTATATATAAGTGTATTTTGCTTCTAGTCTTTGTTGTTTAATGATGAAAGCATTTAAGGTTATGACTTTTTCTCTATAGCTTTGGCGATATCCTGTTTTTGTTTTTTTTGTTGTTGTTTTTTTTTGTGATACGTGCCCCTAACAGGAACCGAACCCGGGACTCTGGTCCGCAGGTCGATGCTCAACTGCTGAGCCAAATTAGCCAGGGCATCCCATAATTTTTATATAGAATAGTTTCCTTATTGATTATTTCAGAATAATTTGTCATTACAGTTTTGTTTTGTTTAGTTTTGTTTTACCTTCACCTGAGGACATTTTTGCATTTATCTTCAGATAGAGTGGGAGGGAGAGAGGGAGGAAGAGAGAGAGAAACATTGATATGAGAGAGACCCATTGACTGGTTGCCAACCACACAACCCCAACAAGCCGGGGACAAACTGCAACCAGAGTACATGCCCTTAGCAGGAACTGAATCTGGGGCTCTCTGGTCCGTGGGCCAGTGCTCTAACTGCTGAGTCAAACTGGCCAGGGCAATTACAGTTTGTTTTTTTAAAAATAATTTTTCTTTATTGATTTGAGAGAGAGAGGACGGGAGAGAGATAGAAACATTGATGAAAGAGAACATCAGTTGGTTGCCTCCTGCATGACCCCCATTGGGGATTAGGCCCACAAACCTGGGCATGTGCCTGACCAGGAATCGAACTGGCGACCTCTTGGTGCATGGATCAATGCTCAACCACTGAGCCACACCAGCTGGGCACAGTTTTAGTTTACTTAATCTTTGAGCCAAGAGTTGTCAACTGGTTAATCTGGTCAAGAAAATTTAAGTTTTTTAATTGCATTGATTAGAAAATGAGATTGATTCTATTTCTGCTTTGAAAGTTCATTTAGGTTTTCTTATTGACCTATATTTGATAAACCTAATTAAGCATCCTAAAGGCTCTAGAAAACAAAGGCTCTATTTGTAGGACAACAAATCTAAAATAGCCTTGGATGTCTCAAATATTTTTACATGTTTGGAAGCATCCTTTGTGCTTGTGTGAAGAGGAAGTGAGAGAAAAGAATTTGGGTTGCTTCTCGTTCTGCCTCCCTGAGTTGGTTGGTTGGTTGGTTTACTTCCTCTTATCTGTTAAAAGTTAAAAAAAAAAAACAACACTGTGGATTTTATAAAGAGTTAATAGCTGCTTAGCTGTTAATGCTGGCAGTAAAAATAGAAGGCTAAAGGACCTGGGAGAGAACTCATCCCCTTCTCTAGCTAAGATAGTTCTCCCTAAGAAGCCATAGTTGTCTTCTTGAAAGCAGAGAAAACCTGCAAGGGGTCACATTAAGATTTTTGCAATTGTGGCCTTCCAGAATCGCCATGGATTCTTTCACAGCGTGATGAGGATATTGTCTAGATAGAAATAAAGAAATAGATGTGAATCAACTCCCAGGGGGCTCACAATATGGTGGGGGTTGAGAGAATTTATGCTTTTCCCTCCTGCACTTGCAGTCACCTTCACATTCCTAAAAAAACCTTCCTATGAGCCCTCCAGGAAATTTTATGGTCTTTAATTATGAAATGAGTGCCTGTCCTGAAATCCACCCTCATTTCTAGCCTGGTGATCTGGGCTGAACACTCTCAGAGATGACAAACTGCTTTCTCTCTCCTAAAGTCCCCTTTAAAGATGTGGAATGCAGTGGGAAGGAGAGCTCACCTCTGGGGCTCGCCTTAGCACTTATAGTCAGTTTAATCAGCCCCAAAATCTGAGGTTTTTAACAACTGAGATGGGACTTTTTTTTCTCCCTAGAATGAGAACTAGTGCTAGAACAATTTAATAACATTCTAAACCATTGGTTCTCGGCCTTGTGCACATTAGAATCACTTCAGGAGCTTTAAAAAGTTCTGACTAAGCCTAGTGTCTTAGTCTAATTAGGTCTGCTATAACAACATACCACAGCCTGGGTAGCTTATAAACAACAAATATTTGTTTGTTTTTTAATCCTCACCTGAGGGTATTTTTACATTTATCATCAGGTAGAGTGGGAGGAAGGGAGAGAGACAAACATAGATGTGAGAGAGAGATCAACTGGTTGCCTCCTGCACAACCCGACCAGGGCTGGGGACAAACCGCAAGCAAAGTATGTGCCCTTGACCGGAATCGAACCCTTGATTCTTTCATCCACAGGCTGATGCTCTAGCCGCTGAGCCAAACAGGCCAGGGCGATATTTGTTTTTCACAGTACTGATTTCTGGAATTTCAAGATCAGAGTGCTAGTATGGTCAAGTGAGTGCCTTCTTACAGAATGTAGACTGCCAGATCTGTGTGTCCTCACATGGTGGAAGGGGCTGGAGAGCTCTGTGGGGTCTCTTATAAGAGGATTAATACCATTAATGAGGGCTCCATGCTGATGACAAAGCAATTCCCAAAGGCCCTACCTCCCAATACCATCACATCAGGTATTAGTATTTCAACATATGAATTTTGAGGGGACACCAACATTCAGACCACAGCACGTAGGTTCCAATCCCTAGAGATACTGATGTATTTGGTCTGGACATCAGGATTTTCCAAAGCTCAGATATTTCTAATGTGCAGCCAAAATTAAGAAGCGCTGATCTAGACATTAATTTGAGGAATAGCATAAGAAACTTGGGAACAACCAGAATTTCCAAGAGGTTGTACATTTGTAACAACTAGTGAAAGAAATGAAACAGGTGGTGTACTCTGTTTCAGTGAAGGTAACTATAAATAACAGATCAGGTTGAATTTCCTACTAAAAATCTTTATTTTTAACATCGTCTAAATGGGGCAGGATAAAAATGGCTGCAATGTCTTTATTCTCTTTTTAAAAATAAATATTTTTACTAATGTTTTTTTAGAAAGAGGGAGAGAGAGAGAGAAAGAAAGAAAGAGGAAAAGAAAGAAAGGAAGAGAAAGGAGGGAGGGAGGGATAGAGAGAGGAGAGAGAGAGAGAGAGAGAGAGAGAGAAACGAACAAACATCATTTGGCTGCCTCCTGCATGCCCTGTACTGAGGATTGAGCCAGAAACCTGAGTATGTGCCCTGGGACAACACTCAACCAACTGAGCCACACCAGCCAGGGCTTGATTACTTGTTTTTAAGAGGGGGGTGTCTGATCCTCTTCCTCTGAATCTAGGCTGACCTGCTTAGGCAATAAAATGTAGTGGAAGTGACTTTCTGGGACTTAATAAGATGTCTTGAAGCTGCCATCTGCGGCCTCTTGGAATGCTAGCTCTGGGAACACTAGCCACCATTTAAAAAGTCTGATTACCTTGAGTCTGCCATGCTGTGAGGAAGCCCTGCCTATGCTCATGGATAAAGATCCTCAGTCATCTCCAGTTCTAGTCACCCCAGCCCAGGCACCAGACATATTTGTGAAGAAGCCATTTTAGGGAGAGGAACCAAGGAATTACTAGCAGATAGCCAGTACTAAGATCCTCAGACACACAACTATGGTCAATTATAGCCATTCCAGTGACCTCCAGACATTTGAGCCACCTCAGCTGAAGCTTCTGTCATGGAGCAGATATGAGTTGTCCCTGCTATGAACTGCTCAAAATCCTGGCTACAAAATCATGAGCATACTAAAAAAGATTGTTTTTATACCACTGAATTTGGGGGCATTTGTTATGCATCAATAGATAACCAGAACAACAGTAACACATGAATAGTCATTGTACAAAATTCAAAAACTATAGATGTATACAAAGAATAGGAAATTTTTCTATCACCCTTTCACTTCTACTCTTTTATAGACAAGAGTAGGCTGTGCATCTTACCAGTCTCTTTCTGATACATGTTTACATACAT